AAGGCAGCCAGTTAAAATAACAATTTATCCTGCCTGCTGTCTTGTGGGATGGTGGAAGGATCCCAGAGCAGCCCTGCCTGGGTTCCTGCTTTATGTCACAGGACAGGAGCTGCTCTCCCAGCTGGGGTTGTTTTAAGGTTTTCTCACCCTTTTCACTGCTATTTTACTGCCTGTCAGCAGAGTCCAAAGGAATTGGATGCATTCCTTATTTCGTGCTTCCATTTCCCCTTCCCTGCACATGGGAATAAAGGCAGGGGGGGAAAAAGTGATTACAACATAGAAATATAGCTTGACTTAAGTTATTTGGAGCAGCAAGTTGGGCCTGGGTGTGATGCTCATCATTATTCTCCCAGAGAGCATCATGCTCTTCCCACATCATTTGGGGGCAGAATTGTTTCCCATGAGAGAAATCTGATTTTTATCCAAGGGAAGCTCCTGAAATGGTGAAGGAAAATGGAATTTCAGTGTTCACCCTGCAGGATGTTTGCTGTTGTGGGTTGCACTCTGGACTTGAATGTGCCTTGCCACGTGCAGTCCTGTGAGAATGTCACCTTGTGCCTCCCTTTTCCTAAAGCAGAGTGGGATGCAGTACCTCAGTGCAGGATGGGCAAACACCAGCTGCTGTAGGGATGTGCTGCAGGGATTTTTGCTCCTGCTACAGCAGGAGAAACTCAAACATTTCCTTGAAGCTCCCCACCAGCAGCCTGTCGCAGTTGGTGTTTGCTTTGGCCAGGGAAGCGGGGCTGGGTGTCCCTGGGGACACGGAGGCTGTCACAGAGCCCCGGGGCAGCCGCCTGTGCTCCTGGGTGGCACCGATGTTTATTTACCTTTTCATCACCTGATTGCCGTGCCCTGCCGTGCTGCAGGCGCCAGCCCGTGGGCTGCCAGCCCTGTTTGAGTTGGCAGGAGCTGGAGATCAACTCCTGCTAAAATAGCCCGACGCCAGCCCCACGTCTGCCCAGGGTGCCAGGGCTCCCTGCAGACCTCAGAGCATCTTGTATGGATATTTTACAACCTGGTGTGGGCCAGTGTCACCACATGATGTGATGGCACACACGGAGAGATGTCGTGATGTGACAAGCTCAGAGCAAACGCTCGGCAGTCCCTGGAGCTGTGGATGTGTCCCTGCAAGGCAAAGCCCTCTGAGGTGGTGGGACTGGGGGTACCCTAATCCAGAGGGGACAGTGCTCTTTTGCTGGTGGGAACGGCCCTGTGACATCCAGGCTCCCATCACCCCTTGGCATATCTCCATTTTCTTGGCTCTGCTCTCCAAAGCTGTGATGCAGAAGAACTGCAGATGTATCCACAAGCTGCAGGTCCTGTGATGGGGCTGCTCAGCTGGGGAAGCTGGATATTTATGGGGCGTGTGGGTGACCCATTTTGGGATTCCCTGAGCCACCATTGCCACTTTCCCCTCTTGATGGTGTCCCTGCAGTTGTGTTCTGGCTGTATCAGGGAGCTCGTGCCTAGAGCTGGATTTCTGTGCTGAGCCACCATCCAAAGCAAGGGGCTGCTCAGGTGTCAGCCAGGAGTTTCCATTTCAGCCTCTGTGCACTCACCTGTCCCAAGGCAGTGACAGATTTGGGATTTTGCTGGTTCCCTGCAGGGTGGGACATGGCAGCACTGCTGGTGCCATGGGGCTGACTCACACAGAACTTGGGGCTTGGTAAAAGTAAACCCTCTTATTTCTAGTGACACTTTGGATGTGACAGGAAGAAGCTCCAGCCCCAAACCTTCCTGTTTTCCAGTGTGTTTTTATATCAGTTCACACCCAAAGATGTGAGCTTATTGTGACTTTCTGCCCTTTTTCTCTGGGTGTTTGGTTGCTGAGCTGCCACACGAAGAGTGGTGGAAGGAGTCAGTGATAGCAGGGAGCTGCCTGGTTGTCACTGTACTCAGAACTGGGGTTTGGGAGGTGCCTGCAGCAGCATTGCTGGGTTTGAGGTTTGGTGACAGTGATGGCAGTGTGTCACTGTGCCACCGCAGGGTTGCAGCTGCCTGCCCCAGGGCACGTGTTTCCTGAGCTCACAGAAACCCTGCTTTAATCAAGATCTCATGCAAAGCCCGGCTCTGTGAACGGCAGTCCTCATGCAAACACAGTGTGGGAGAAGCACTGAGAGCACTGGGGTGTTTCAGGTGGCTGCTCAGGGTGGAAAGTCACCCCAGGGCACCACGGCTGAGCCAAGGGCTGTGGGACCCCCGGCTGCCTCCCCCAGGCACCTGCCTGCCCTTCGCCCTCTTACCTTGCACGACTGCACCCTTAAAAGTGGAGTCTGGATGGAAATAGCAGCAGCAGATCTCTTCTACTTTTAATTTTGGAGGCTCTCTGGGCTGGGGAGAGGAAGCTGGGGGTGGAGAGGAGCTGGCTGTGAGAGGACAGGAGCCACTTTGCTCTGACACGCTCTGTAGAGTCACTTGAAACACTGAAGGTGCTCCAAGATTAGGGTTTTTTTTACTATAAAAATAATTATAGGCATGATGTACTGGTCTGTGTCTCACAGTGGCAGGGGATCAGAGTAACCTGACCCAGGGGGGATGTGGGTTTGAAACAACTCACAGTGGGTGTGTGTGTGAGGACTGAGGACCTGGTACAGTTTGAAGCATGAACACATTGTTGTTTTCACTGGTTGGTTTAGTGAAGGTAGGTTTGGTTTGGGTTTTTTTTCATTCCTCTGAATGAAAATAGGTGATGGAAAACAGACAAGCAGGTTTTGCTTCCTGCTCTCACTTAGGGCTCCACAGTGGGGGTGTTTGGAGACAGCCACAGTGGTGGGGCATCAGTGTCTGCCTCAGGCTGGTTCCTCCTGGCCTCATCTGGTCCCTTATGCCCTCCCAGAAACACAAGGAACTCGAGACACATCTTGTTTTATCATGGAATTTTTAAGGGTGGAGAAGACCTCTAAGTTCATTGAGTCTAACCCTGTTAGAGCTGCCACCTGTTCCTTGTCAAGTACACTGAGAGATCTGGGGAGAGGAGAAGGCTCTGGGAGACCTTAGAGCCCTTCCAGTGCCCAAAGGGGATACAAGAGAGCTGGAGAGGGGCTTTGGAAAAGGGATGGAGTGACAGGACAAGGGGAATGGCTTCCCACTGACAGAGAGTATGATTAGATGGGACATTGGGAAGGAATTCTTCCCTGTGAGGATGAGGAGGGCCTGGCACAGGTTACCCTGAAAAACTGTGGCTGCCCCATCTCTGGAAGTGTCCCAAGGCTAGGCTGGATGGGGCTTGGAGCAACCTGGGATAGTGGAAGGTGTCCCAGCCCATGGCAGGGATGGAACAAGATGAGATTTAACTTCCATTCCAACCTAAAGCACTGGGGGATTCTGATGGGTGCAAAGGGAGACAAGCACCCGTGAGCCACCAGCATCAGGGGGTCACTCCTGTGTCACTGGCTGGGTTTTTGGGGTCCCTTTGGGATCCCTGAGACTGCTTCTGCACGTTCCCCAGCCTTGCCCAGATGGAATTTTGGCTCGTGGGGAGCTCTCAGACCAGCAGGGTAAAGAAACTGGGATATACAGAAAGGCACAAATCCATGGTTTATTCTATGAAGGCATCCTATCTACATATACCCATGGCTATTGTTTTACAGGGGTTTTTAGATCTTTTGAGGGTTTTACAGTTTGCACCAATTACCAAGGGAATTCTACATTCTAACCAATCCCTGAGGGATTTTACATTCAAAGCTGGCCTATGGATACTAAAAGAAAATGAGCCACTAATATTGAAGGAAGCTGGATTCCTTTTGTATTCATCATTTCACAGCCATTTCTTATCTCTAAGCTATGTTTTTCCAAGGAGCTTGTTCTGAGGATGCAGGGAGACTTTCTTCTTTATTTTCTGCTCCCTCCACACTCCTGAGCCCTCCCTGGCTGCAGCACCTTAGAGCAGGGCCAGCACAGCCCTTGCTGCCCAGGGGCAGGAGGATTCCCTTGGAGGGCACCAGGGTTTGTGCACTGATGCCTTTTCGGGGCTACCTAAAAACAGAGGCCAGACAAAATTAAGGGAATAAAAAGTGGTTATATTTATTGAAGGGTCTTCAGGTACATTCAGGGCAGACGAAACCCCCCAGGGGCTACACCCAAAATGGATGACAGGTCACAAGTTTTCATGCTTTTATAAATTTGGTCCATTTGCAATTGGGGTTAATCTTCCAATTGCAGCTTCAGGTAATGAAGTCATTTACCCCAAATTTGCTCCTCCACTTCACTTTTGTTTACATCTCTCAGGGCCTGACACAGTGAGGTGTCCTTGATTCCAGGCCTGGAGAGGAATTGTTGTGTCTGACCAAAATGGGAAAGCAGTGACTAACACTCTGTATGGAGTTTAGAGTTATACACTAAAGAATTTCAGGATTACAAATATATGGAAAATATAAAAGCTAAAATTTTAAGGCATCACATTGTGCAGTGGTCATGGGACCCATTGGTGCATGTGAAGGTCATGGTCACCTCCTGGGGATGTGGGAATCTTGGGCAGTCTGGGAATCTGGGAGCAGCGTGGATGGAGGCTCTGCACCCACTGGGTGGGTTCAGGACAGCTTGGAGCAGCTGAGCATCAGCTTTGGATTTGTTTCTTAGAGCATTGCAGGCTGTAAAGTACAACAGATTAATAGGAAATATGGTCTGAAAGTTACAGTCCCCAGTAGGGCTGTATTGGGTTTCTGGCAGGGCATTTTATGGGATGGTTGGACTTCTGTGCCTTGGATTTGGAGAGGGCAGCTCCTGAGGAGTATTTTTTTAGGCAGGCTGAGTGCTGGAGCCACTTGCAGCAGGGAAATGATGTTTCCAGGGCTGCTTACTTGGTGTTGGGCTGAGAAGTTTGAGGACAGGCCACCTTGTTGTGGGAATTTGTGCAGAAAAATTTGCATTTTGGGGTACTGAATGAACTGCTGGGCATAAGGGAAGGGATTGCTAGTCTAGGTCCAAATCACTGATTATCTTTTTATTTTTATCGTTTTTTGCTGTATTGTGCTCCTTGGGCTGTTGATGAAAACCCACAGAGCTCCCTGCAGAAGAAGGTAAGTCATGGGCTGGAGGTGGCAGTCCATGCCTTGAGTCTGGGTGGAGTGTGCTGGGGACAAGGAAGAGAGAATCTCTGGGGTCTTTTAATCTTGGTTTTAATCTCAGAGAAAGCTGGACTGACAGTAGAGCTTCCCTGTGATGGTGAGGCTGCCCCTGTGAATAGAAACACAGAGGATTTGGTTTTGGTAGTTAAAAACAGGAAGTAAAACCAGGGCAGTGCCAGAAATGGAAGCATTTCATTTTAGAGAGAACCCCCCTCTGCAATGCCACATCCTCACCAATGCCCATGGCCAAGGGGCACCAGAGCAGCCCTGAAGGAAGCAGGGATGCAGTTCTCTGGGTGTTGGGGCTCAGTGGGACCTGTCTCCTGGGGATTTTCTGGAGCACTGACTGTGCTTGGCTTCATGTTTTCCCACCAGGAAAGTCCCTCTGGGAGCTGGTGCTGGAGCAGTTTGAAGATCTCCTCGTCCGCATCCTTTTGATGGCAGCTTTTCTGTCCTTTGTAAGTACCCAGAGCTTGGGGTGGCACCTTCTGGGGCACACAGGGCCTCAGGTGACATCCAAAGAGGAAAGGAGAGCAGGTGTGTGTGGGAGATGCAGCAGCAGAGCAGTGGTTTCTAGGGCATAGAGGCAATATCACTGCATCTGCTCAGAGATGGGACTGGAGGATTTTTCAGTAATGCTGATCCATCCAAAAGTGATCTCAGACAACTCCCTGGGCTGCCTTCCCCTTTACACAGGGCTTTTCCAGGCTGGTGATTTGAGCCTGGTTTGCAGTGCCCCAGTACTGAACTGCCAGTTCAGTTTTGCCCACAGTCTACCTTGGGAACAGCTCTGCATGAGGAGATGTTTCCCATCAAGGTGCTGGAGAATGATTGATTTTTTGGAGTGTAAGTCAGTGTGTTTGGCAGTAGGATGGCAAAGCTGAGACTCCTGTCCCTTCCTTTCAGATGTAGCTCATGGGTAGATACAGGGCAAGGCTGGTTCCCTGTGGGGTTTAATACATTCCCAAAACAACATGCAGTGAAGTGAATGCAGGTAAAGCAGGTGTGAAGCCCTGTGCCAGAGGTCAGGTCCTTGTGCCAGTGCCTCTGTGACAGAACAGAGAGGTGTTGCTGTGTTGACACAGTGCAGGTCGATGAACAGTTAAATGGAGTGGAAATATTTGTGTGTGTGCTTCATTTGTACTATGGTATAAGGCCTTTGTGGGGTGGAGAGGGAGCTCAGGGTGGTAGAAGCCACAAGGTCAGTCCTTGCTCTGTAGAGCTGCTCTTACTGCACTGATTATTTGTGGACCTTCTGCCCAGGAGGGGCTGCAGTGCTGCCTGGTCTCTCCAGTTATCAGATCATGGCCATGGTCTCCCCATGGGTGCACTAAACACAAAGAGAGAGATTTTTCTGGTGCAAACACTCATTCAGGCATTGCATGGCTGTTTGCTCCAGCCCTATTTATTCAGTGCATTGGCTCATCCCAGCAGAGGACTGGAGGCTCCAGCAGTGGGATATGGAAATTCCACTTTTTGACCAAGCCATGTGGGTCTGGCCACCTCCAGGCTGTTTCTTCTCCAGCAAATAACCACCTGTGGTTTGGCTCTTGTTTCCATCATTCATCTTAAAATGTTGCTGCTCTTGTTTGAACCACATCGTGCTCCTTCTTTTCTTTTGCCACCAGATCCTGGCCTGGTTTGAAGAAGGAGAGGAGACCACGACAGCTTTTGTGGAGCCCGTTGTCATTATAATGATCTTGATTGCCAATGCTGTGGTGGGTGTGTGGCAGGTAAGGCACAGCCTGCCCTCGGGGTCTCTGCTCCACAGGGCTGAGATCCTTCATCTAAAGGTCTGCTTGCTTCATGCCCTTGGAAACTCATTTTCCAAAGGTTAATTTTCATGTTGGCTGTGCTTCCCCGTGCCCCTGCACATATGCTCAGTTGCTGGCTGCCTCTTGGCTCGATTTTTCAGGCTTTCTTTGGCAATTCTTGCACGTTGGAGCTTATCTTGCAGTTGTCCAGGCAAAAACTGCTTGTGTCCTGGCCAGGGCCAAATGCATTTTCCAAGGGAAGGTCTTTGCTCTGCCCACCAGAAAGCCACAGTGGCTACTGCCCCTCACCTCACTGTGTCCCTGCTGGGGGGTGAGCAAACACTTCAGCCAGTGATGCTCCTCTTTTGCATCTATTCATTATAAAGCCATTTATTTATCTGCAGCTTCATCTGAGGTGAAGTTGCTGAATGGGGAGAAATACAATTGGTTGGGATCCACTGCTTCCCAAACCAAGAATGAGATGATCAGCCCCAAAGGTCCAGGCAATGTCCAGGATCTGGTGTGGTTTAAACCAGCAGGAATCATTTTGCAGAGGCTGAAGAAGTCGTGGTGCTTGTCCCATCCATGGTGTAAACGGATTCCAAAGCCAGGGCTGGGGTTTGGGTTTTCCTCTCTTTGCAGTGGGTGGGGAAGGAAGCTGCTGGCAGCAGCAGCAGCAGCAGCAGCTCTGCTCCTCTCTGCTTGCAGGAGAGAAATGCTGAGAGTGCCATCGAGGCCCTGAAGGAGTACGAGCCGGAGATGGGGAAGGTGATCCGAGCCGACCGCAGCGGGGTGCAGCGCATCCGCGCCCGCGACATCGTCCCCGGGGACATCGTCGAGGTGGCAGGTAGGGTGTGGGGTGGGGTGGGATGGGATGGGATGGGATGGGATGGGATGGGGACGTGCTGCTGCCCAGGGGGCTCCCCCAGAGCTGAGGCTCTTCAGCCTGCCTGAGCATCAGGCGGTAAAGAACAGCAGAAAAGAGAAAAAAAATATCAATTTCTGATGCGGGTTTTGTGTTTTGAGAGTTTCCCATTTTTCTGGAAGAACTAGGAGAACTTTCGATTTTCCACCAAGATTCCCTGTTTCTGGAAGTGGCTCTCCCATGCACATGCCCAGGCCAGGCGTGGGTGAAGGGCCAGTGCTGGGTGCTGCTGCAGCAGCCTGGGTGGGAAGGTTTCCTTGGGAGCAGGGCTGGCTGTCCGGGCACGGTGAGAGGCAGGGGGGATGAGCTGCAGGCTGCTTTTGCCTCTGGGTGGGTTGTACCCCCCAGCCCTTCTGTTGGAGCTGTGCATTACCAGAGCGTGCCTGGGGGTGTGCTGCCTGCCCCAGCAGAGCTGAGGAGGATGCATTCCAATTATTCCGTCTTGTTTGTTCCTAAAATGATGTTGTAAAGCCCCAGAGCCACAAAACTAATCCTCTCCTTTCCTCCTCGTGGCCCTGCTGCTGGAAACATGCTGCAATCCCTCCCGTGCCCAGCCAGCTTGCTGTTATTTATGCTCCTAGTTGGACTTCAGCAGGAAGATGAATACAAAAATAATGGAGGGAGGATCAAGCCAGCCGGATCCTCAGCTGGGTGAGCTGGCAGCACTCCCAAACCAGCTCTGACAATGCAGTCCAGCTGCTGACCTGGCCTTTAATTAAATTAATGAATTATTAACAAAATTCTGCCGTCTTTCCCTAAATCAAGTCCATACTGCCTGCCCATCAGCAGGCCAATATTACTTTTTAATGGCACCATCAGCATTGCAACTAGAATGGAAAGAGCTGAGCTCTCTGGAGGGGTTTTGCAAATTATTAGCAAATTGTGGGTTTAGGAGGTTATGGAAAGTGGTGAGGGTGCTGTCAGGTGCCTGGTAGGAAAGCACACCAGGAGGAAAAGCTTTGAACCTGCCGTGCACATCCAGGTGATGCCCTGGATGTGTGACAACACAGGCAGGAGGGACTGGCTGCTGTTTGCATGTGCAAATGCCATAAATTTGGCAGCAGGGAGCAGGAAACCTGTTACACTGAAACAAGGAGGGGGGTGGCTGGAAGTTGGCAGGCTGCTTAAACCCGGCTGGGTTTTGCCCTTTTGTGACAAGGCCATGGAGGTGAGTCCTGGTGCAGGCAGAGCATCTCTCTGGGAGCTCCACTGGGTGCTGTGAGCCCTGTGGTGCTCGGGCAGTGCCAGTGGGCACAGCCAGGCAGTGTCCTCCTGTTTTCAGCTCTTTCTCTTGGGAGATTTGTGGTGCTGGGGGCCACATGGCACCTGTTCAGTACCTGGCTAATGGCCAGGCCAGCTCTGTTCTGTGCCATGGGATATTAAGGCACTGTGCACCCTGGAGCAGGTGCCACCCCTGTGGCACCAGGGCTCTTTGTCCCTGGATGTTGCAAGAGTCCTCCTCTGCAGGATTAGCTCATGTTTGCAAGTCCTCCTGCCTTTCCCGGGGGAAGGGGAGCTCTTTGCTCCCTCTAAGATGCTCCAGCCCCCTTGAACAGATGCAGAGTCTGAGTCTGTGCATGAAGTGGAGGATTTGGGGAGGTCTGTGCTGGCACCCCCCAGCTCAGTGTCCCCCAGCTAGGTGTGACAGGAGGAGCAGGGCAGGTGTGGCTGGGTGGCAGATGTTGCTGCTGCATCCTGGAGCGTTGGGATGTGCAGCTGGAATAAGTGGCTGGGTTGTGGAGCAGTGCCAGCCCCCTCCTGCTGTGCTGGGGGGGTTTACGAGCCCTGGGAGGAAGCACTCGTTAAAGTCTGGGATTGGAGAGCATCGTTAGCAGCCAAGCCCGCAGTGTTGTGTAAGGGATGTGAGGGGCTGGCAGCCAGGGCTCCCTCAGCCTCAGTATTTCCACAGTGCTGGAGTTGTGTCCTGCCGATAAGGGAGCAGGAGGAAGAGCCAGCAGGAAGAAACCCAGCGGGAAAAGCAGCTTTAAATGGTTCTTTTTTGTTTTTTTTAAGGAAGCACTAGTGCCTTGGAGGGTGGTGTTGGGTGGCTGGCAGTGGATGGGGCAGCTTTCACCTGTGCCCACTGTGCCATGCCAGGAGAACCAGGGATGGGTGTTTGTCTTGGACACAGATTTTCCACATTTAACAGCTTCCAGTCAGCCCAGAGAAACCTGAAACAGGGTTAAGACCACATTAGGAAGCTCAGATTGCTTCAACATGGGGATGTCCTGGTTTTTGCAGGAAAGAGGCAAGATGAGGGTGCAGGGGGAGTTTGCAGGATAAAGGAGAGACAGGGACATGGTGGGGAAGGGGATGCAGCACAGCAGGCAGGGCACCACCAGGGTTTGGCTGGGGGCTGACTTGTAAATTATAGACAGACAAAATTAAGCTTTAACAAAGCTTTAAATGCAGAAATGGGGTATCCCAGTGCAGGATCCTTTGCCAGGGGCTGGACCCTTCATTGCTCCAGGCTGGGTGCTGCTGTGCACTTGCACATGGTTGGTGTCAGTTTGGGGTTTGCTGACCCCATTCCCATTGGGGTGTTGGGTGCTGCCAGTGCCTCCTGACAGAGCTGCTCTGCTCCTGTCCTTGCAGTTGGTGACAAGGTGCCAGCAGACATCCGGATCATCGAAATCCGCTCCACCACCCTGCGGGTCGACCAGTCCATCCTCACAGGTGTGTGGGGCTCTCCTGGAGCAGAGGCTGCTCCCTTCTGCTGTCTTCCTGGAGGCAGAGTTTGGAACTGATGCTGGGCTAAGTGCTTTGCTGGGGTGGGAAAGGGTGGGAGAGCAAGATTTAGATGATGCTTGGACCTTGCCAGGTCCTCAAAGTCACAGAGTAGGTGAGATGTGTCTGGTGCTTGGGTGTTCTTCCTGCAGAACACAAAGCCTGGGGTTTTCCTGTGTGACATGTGGGGTTTGACATCCCCATGGTGGATGTTTGGATAGTTTGGTGGCACAGTGCTGCTCTAGAGCACTGTGGGGTGTGTGATGCAGGCTTGGAGCAGGGATAAGCTGAGGCTGGAGAGGGAACATGGGTGATCCATCTCTCCCCTCTTGTCTTGGCAGGGGAGTCTGTGTCGGTGATCAAACATGCTGACCCCATCCCTGATCCCCGGGCTGTCAACCAGGACAAGAAGAACATGCTTTTCTCTGTAAGTCCCTTACATCTGTCTCCACCTCTCCTGTGGTTTTCCAAAGTGCAGAGACTGGTGGATGTGGGAGATCTCTGAGCAGAGAAAGGGAGTGCATGCATAAGACCTGAATCCATAAAAAGAGCCCCAAATCCATAAAAATAAGAACCTGCTTCATTTGGATTTCATTTAGGCTGTGGCACATAAGGCTTTTAAATACCTTGGGCAATGTCAGAGCACTTTTTTTTCCATCAAGTAAGATGCATTATGGATGGGGAAGAGGTTTGTAGTTGAGCCTGGAGCTGTTGCAAATTTGGGTCTTCTCCTTTCTCATATTCTTCTCAGGCAGAAGTCAAGTTCTCGAGGGGTTACAACTCTCAGGAAGGGTTCTCCTACTCCTTAGGGTGGGTTTATATAAAAACCCAAAATGTCCCATTTTCCTTTTGACCAAGAGCTCACGTTCTCCTGTCACAATGAGGAACCCATTTCTCTGCTCAAACCAAGAGGTTTCATGTTGCAATAATTATGTCATAATTATGTCAAGACAGACACTGGCATCACCACCAGTCCTTTATTAGCAAACTTCTCATGCCTTTTTATAATGTACTTCTTTCTGATAACTCTGACTCCTTCCCTCATAGGCAGCTTCAAACAGCCCTGACTGGCTAAACCCCAACCTGTCCCTTACCCAGCCACCTGGGCCTGTCTGTCCCTCACACAGCATCTTGTTACCTCATCTGTCCCTTGCACCACCACATGTCCCTTCCTCCTCACAGCACAGCCAGCAGCCTCCATCCCAAACTGCAGCACACTCTGGTACTGCCACTTGTGGCCAGCTAGCCCACTTTTATAGCAGCCAAACTCATCGGGCAGGCACGGATGTTTCCACTCCTCAGTAATCAGTACAGGAATAATTAATCAGGAGAGATTGCCTTCTGCACTATCCTTTCAACCTGTCTTTCCCCAGTTTCATCCTCATAGCTGTGGTTACTGCGCTGCAAAGAGAGAGAAAGGACAGCAACACACACGGACTTCTTTAGGGAAAAAAGGTTAATTTTATTGTACAGACAGCCCAGATTTAAAGCATGTTATGTGCAGCTAGGACAGGACAGTAGTTCATTGGGCAATTGGGAAAAACATCAGGTGTTAATCTTTATGATGAATTCCACTCTGTTTGTCACCATGTTCTCACCCTGGGAGACTCCTCCCTAACTGAAGCTGCAGTCAGCTTGTCAGCCTGGGAACGGAGCTGAGAGTCAGGAGAAATCCAGGCCTGAAAAGAATTTCCAAGCTGTAATTCCCCAGCTCTCTAAATGTGTGTGTCCACACATACCCACTGTGCTCCTCTCCTCCCCTCCCAGGGCACCAACATTGCAGCCGGCAAGGCCGTGGGGATCGTCATTGCGACGGGGGTGTTCACCGAGATCGGGAAGATCCGCAACCAGATGGTGGAGACGGAGCCTGAGAAGACGCCGCTGCAGCAGAAGCTGGACGAGTTCAGCCAGCAGCTGTCCAAAGTCATCTTCCTGGTGTGCATCGCCGTGTGGCTCATCAACATCAGCCACTTCAGCGACCCCGTGCACGGCGGCTCCTGGTTCCGGGGGGCCATTTACTATTTCAAGATCTCGGTGGCGCTGGCGGTGGCCGCCATCCCCGAGGGCTTGCCGGCCGTCATCACCACGTGCCTGGCGCTGGGCACTCGCCGCATGGCCAGGAAGAACGCCATCGTCAGGAGCCTGCCCTCGGTGGAGACGCTGGGCTGCACCTCGGTCATCTGCTCCGACAAGACCGGCACCCTCACCACCAACCAGATGTCCGTGTGCCGGGTGAGAGCTGGGCTGGGCCCGGGATGCCTGCAGTGAAATGAGGGGAGGGGGCTCCGGGCAGCTCTTTAAAATGCTCTTTGTTGTATCCAAATGATACGGCAATCCACGGGTTGTGGGTGGCAAGAGCCCAGCCTGTCAGCCACAGCTTCTCTAGGTCTGGTTGCAATGCATTATAAAGTTTTCATTACAGAGCAGCTTAATACATGACAACCAATCAATACTTTTACTTATTACTATAGCCTGTCATAACTACTAACATTACCATATTCGTTATTAACTATTTTCCAATCACAAAATGTTAGTATGTTACAGTTAAGCTAGAAGTTGTTTTTTAGTTTTCTTGCAGTTGAAAATTCTGAGATCTTTTCTCTACTTGCAATATTGGATTTCTTGTTTGCCTGTGAAAATCTTTTTGCTTGGTAAAAATATCTTTTTTTTTGAGGTGGGTTTATCCTTTGCTCTAAGTCATAAAATCCCCTTCCAACTCACTGTCTCTTTGCCTTCTAGTTACCCAGTAGGACTGGCTTAGCAATTCTTTTTTTCTCTATCAAAACTTGCTATAATTTCTATTCCTTCTTCAGATTCTACATTCAGAGATCTTTCTGTTATACATACATATCTGTGAGACCTTCCTGTCAAATCCTTATCCTTCCCAACACTAGAGAGGCAGGAACAGAGGCTAGACAGAGTTAAGAGGAATAAAGTGATTATTTATTAAGGGGCCTTCAAAGGCCACACCCTGGCAGTGCCACAGTCATGGCCATGCCTGGATGGCTCCAAGATGGAAGCAAAAGAGAATTTGGTCACGAGATCTCACATTTTTATAGGTTTTAGTCCATTTGTATGCAGGAGTCAACTGTCCCATTAATAGCCTCAAATCATGAAGTTTCATCCTCATTGCTTGCTTGCCCACCCTCCTCTTTCTCACGTTGTTTGTGCTTAGGGCCTGAAGTTTGAAGAGACTGTCCTTGAGTCCCCAGCTGGAATGGGACTGTTCTGTCTTCAGCACCTGTGAAAAGATCCTAGGAACCCTTAATATAAAACTAAAAGCTGCACACCCAAGCAGAACAGAAAAACTTAAGGCATCACAGGTGATGTGCTTGAGAGCACCCCATGCTGTGGTGATGGGCTCTGTATCCTCACCAGAGTTGTGCTGGGTTAGGAATGTGGGGGTGAGCAGGGAGGAGGGTTTATAGGAAGCCCGAGGTTCCCCTGGCCAGGGTCAGTAAGGATCAGGGCTTCTCTTGGCTTGGGTACAATTAAAAAACTCACTTTTATCAGCACTCCGTTGGGGAGGTGCTGTGTTGCAATCTCCTTTCAGGGGTCAATTTCCAGGGAATGTTTCTTCCTGCTAGGATGTGACATTGAAACAGATCCTGGAGAT